GGAGGTCGTGGTGAGCCGAGATGGCTCCACTGCACTCCGGCCTGGCAACAGAGCGAGACCCCCTCTCGGGGGAAAAGAAAAAAATTGAAACACCTTAGGGACCTCAAAGTACAGCCCAGAGGCCTATTCCACCCAATTCTTCATTGTGCCACTCTCTGATGTTCCTAACACGAGAGAAAAAGAAATGGACAAAAAGGCGAACTAGAGAATGATGGAAGTAGGCCACAGAGCTGGAGGAGGACAACTACGGAGAACGCCAACAGGCCTCCTCTCGGTTTCTCATTTCCCCATTCGAAATGTGTCAGAAAAGTCCCGAAGAAGAGCAACCGGGTTGCGTTAACGGAGCGTGGCCTATACACCATCCGAGCTCCACGACTCCAGACTTCCAGTGAGCGGCCCAGGCAGAAGTGCGTCACCCAGCTTTTTTGTGCCAATGGAGACATGCTCAGGTCCTGTCCAGGAATTCTGGAGGTTTCTGAGGCGCAAAAGTTCACACTGAGCTTGCTTCTACGTTTACAGCTAACCTAAAGGGTCAAGAAGTGAAAGCGAAAAACGCCACCACCACCCCACCCTCACTTCTAAAACGGGGTGTCTACTCACCTTACTCTACCCCTACGCATTGACCTTTACCTCCCAATAAAACCTTCTTCTTGTGAAGCCACGAACCTCTGTGAAGGTGAAAGAAAAGCGGAGGCACAGCCCTAAAGCCGAGGTCTGGAAGAACTAAAACCCCAGCTCTCAGAATCGCGGAAACAAACGGCACCTCCGTACGCAAGATGGCGACCACCTCTCGGTTACCCAGGCCAAAAGTAGGCTTTTGCGTCAGGCATTGTGGGAACTGAAGTCTGACGTTCACACCGGCTCCGTAAACCTCACGGCGCGGAGACTAGGTCTCCCAGAATCCATGGCGTGATAAACGCACTAATTTGGCAACTAAAGCAGACCGGAATTAGTTCCTAGACCTGGAGAAGGGAAGTTATCGAAAAACACCAACTTTAGTTAAAAGAAAGCAGCGACCTCCTCTGGCGTTCGCCCCCGAAGGAAAAGGGAATATGAGAACCTGGCGCCTGAAATAGATGTGTAATCGGCTCTCAGTGCATGCTTCTTAGGGCTTTCTGGAAGACAAAGAGCCAGCTGACTTTTCCAACGGAACTCCACAGGTGGTATCACAAATTTGGATTCTGGCCGTTTCTACGAAAGACCACCTGACGTAATTTTAGGTTCATGCTTTTCTGTGGAAGGAAAGAATTACTGCGGCGCAGGTCCCCAATAACAGATAAAAATACTTATGAGCAAAATCGCTTAGTGTCATGTCGCTGTTTTAGGAAATACAGACCGATCACTGAGCTTTCCCATTAAGAGTCAATATATGCAAAGCACATAGGACAGCGAGCTCCTGGTAAGAATAAGCGTTATGTAAGTGTTTGTTACATTAAAAATAAATACAAATCAAACAACCGGCAGTCCTCAACTGAGGGCTTCTTTTCTCTTCCCACCACCTCTCCAACCCGTCCTTCCTCCACTGGTTCCCCATCCCCCATAATTTCAGGTCCTTGCAAGGAAAACTGATCATCTCTTCATATTTAAGTAATTATTTCTATGGATATGTACCTTTTTCCATCTCCAACGTGTTAACAATTTCATTTGTTGTTAAAATTACAGTCTGGAATATCTACATTTGATTATTTAACAGCCTTGTGATCAAGGGAGTTCACCAAAGCAACCCATCTTAGAAAGAAATCTGTCTCAAATACAGATTTGTACTATGACCTTTGTCTTCTCATAATTAAAGTCATGCATCCTCCTTTGAAATAGCCACATTTACATGAGGTTGTGGCGTTCTCAGTGTGTTACATCCGCAGGCACACTATGCTCATTATAAAATAATATTAATCTTTGTCACCCCATCAAGGTATTGCCCTGTTTCTCCATGGCATATTTTCCCCCTTAAAACTAATAAGCAGCCGGGCACGGTGGCTCACGACTGTGATCTCAGCACTTTGGGAGGCTGAGGTGGGCGGATCACCTGAGGTCAGGAGTTCGAGACTAGCCTGGCCAACATGGTGAAACCCCATCTGTACTAAAAATGCAAAAATTAGCCGAGCATGGTGGCGGGCACCTATAATCCCAGCTACTTGGGAGGCTGAGGCAAGAGAATCACTTGAAGGTGGAGGTGGCAGTGAGCCGAGATCATGCCATTGTACTCCAGCCTGGGTGACAAGAGCGAACAAGAGCGAGACTCCATCTCAAAAAAAAAACAAAAACAAAAACAAAAACTAACCAATAAGCAATCAATCTGTGAGGTTATACTTTGAGACCAAGCAAATATCCTGCTCCTAATCAAACTTTACCTTATGATTCAGATTCCATAAATGTTGGGATTTTTTTTTCCCGCCTTCTTCAAGTCTTCCACATTTGTCAATCCAGATGCTGCTATAGAGCAGAACCCTACTTGTTTATTTATTCACTATCAGTATGAATTTATGGATTTCTTTTGTTCAGGCGGTTATACTCCATTGCTCTCCTTACTTGTTTACTATTAATAGACTATTTTTAGGATGGTTTTAAATGCACATAAAAATTGAGCAAATGGGAGGCCGGGCGCGGTGGCTCAAGCCTGTAATCCCAGCACTTTGGGAGGCCGAGACGGGTGGATCACAAGGTCAGAAGATCGAGACCATCCTGGCAAACACGGTGAAACCCCGTCTCTACTAAAAAATACAAAAAACTAGCCGGGCGAGATGGCGGGCGCCTGTAGTCCCAGTTACTTGGGAGGCTGAGGCAGGAGAATGGCGTAAACCCGGGAGGCGGAGCTTGCAGTGAGCTGAGATCCGGCCACTGCACTCCAGCCCGGGCGACAGAGCGAGACTCCGTCTCAAAAAAAAAAAAAAAAAAAAAAATTGAGCAAATGGTAGAGTTCCCATGTACCACATACACACACACAGTTTCCCTTGTTACTAACCTCTTACATTGTTACAACTAATGACCTAACATTGATACATTAACATTAACTTGTTATAACTTATTAGTTATAACATATTACATGTAACACTATTACGTATCAGTTATATATTAGTTATATAACTTATTCATTATTCAAATTTCCTTCATTTTTACCTAAATGCCCTCTCTGTTCCAGGATTCCATCCAGGATACCACCTTACATTTAGTTATCATGTTTCCTTAGGCTCCTTTTGGCTGTGACAATTTCTTGTCCATGAGGCATTTTATTTGTAAATATATGTATTACATCCCTAGAAAAAGAATCCCAGGATTTTCCCTCCGGTGTGTTTTCATCTTGTTTCTTCATGGTCTATGATGCCAGCTGAGGTTGTCAGTACAATGAAACCAAACTGGTGGGATGGAAGCAGATTATTCTGCCATTTTTCCAGATCTTTGAGTTGCACATCAAATCTGGGGCTGATCATTCCACACTTGTTTAGCCTGCCTGTGAGGTTCACAACAATTTTCCCAGCTCTGTGATCATCAATGATTTCAAATTCACCAGTGTAACCATGCTTCATCATGACAGTGAGAAACCGGACGATGACTTTGGAGCAAGGCCTAATAAGCACCTGGCGTTTGCCTGTTCTTTTCGGCATTGTTGATGCTCTTGAGAGCATCAGCCAGGACATTCATGTGCACCATTTCGGCGGTGCGGAAAGGTGGCGGAAAGAAGACCGGAGGGGAGAGTGCAAGGAGTTGGCTGCGACAGTTTCTTAAATTTATTTTTTTAGTATCTTAAGCTTATTTTTGGTGACCTTGCCTTTTTGTTTTGTTTTGTTTTTGACAGAATCTTGCTCTGTTGCCGAGGCTAGAGTGCAGTGGCACCATCTCGGCTGACTGCAACCTCTGCTTCCCAGATTCAAGAGATTCTCCTGCCTTAGCCTCCTGAGCAGCTGGGACTACAGGCGCCCACTAACAAGCCTCGCTAATATTTGTATTTTATTAGAGATGGGGTTTCACCATGTTGATCAGGCTGGTCTTAAACTCCCGAACTCAAGCGATCCACCCGCCTCTACCTCCCAAAGTGCTGGGATTACAGGCGTGAGCCACAGTGCCTGGCAGTCCTTGACAATTTTGAGGAAAACTGATCAGATATCTTGTAGCATATTCTTATGTTGGAATTTGTCTGATGTTTTTTGCAGCCTCCAGAACTGTGAGAAATAAGTTTGTTATTTGTTATTATTTTTATTTATTTATTAAGACAAGGTCTTACTGTGTCACCCAGGCTGTAATGTAGTGGCACAATCACAGCTCACTGCAGCCTTAGCCTCCTGGGCTCAGGTAATTTTCCCACCTCAGTCTCTTGAGTAGCTAGGACCATAGGCATGCATCACCATGCCCTGCTAATCTTTGCATTTTTTGTAGGGATGGGTTTTCACCATGTTGTGCAGGCTAAATTTTTCTTCCTTCTAAATTACCCAGTCTCTGCTATTTCTTTTATTTTCTCTTTCTTTTCTTTTCTTTTTTTTTTTTTTTTTTTTTTTGGCCAGTTCTACTAGGGTATTTGTTTTGAGGCAGGATCTCACTCTGTCACCCAGCCTGGAGTGCAGTGGTGCCATCAGAGCTCACTGCAGTCTCAACCTCACGGGCTCAAATGACCTTTCCTCACTCAGCCTCCCAAGTAGTAGCTGGGACTATGGGTGTGTACCACAATGCCCAGACAATTTTTGTCCTTTTCGTAAAGACAGGGTCTCACTCTGTTGCCCAGGCTGGTCTTGAATTCCTGGCCTCAAGTAATATTCCTGCTTTGGCTTCTCAAAGTGCTGGGATTACAGGCGTGAGCCACCGCGCCCCGCCCAGACATTTCTTAAAAGAAGACGTGCAAATAGTCAATGCTTAATAGGGAAAAAGACAGTCTCTTCAATAAATGCTGTTGGGAGGCCCAATGTGATGGCTCATATCTGTAATCCCAGCACTTTAAGAGGCTGAGGTGGCGCCAAGCACCGTGGTTTATGCCTGTAATCCCAGCACCTTGGGAGGCCAAGGCGGGTGGATCACCTGAGGTCAGGAGTTCAGGACCAGCCTGGCCAACATGGTGAAACCCCATCTCTACTAAGAATACAAAAATTAGCCAGGCATGATGGCAGGCGCCTGTAATCCCAGCTACTCAGGAGGCGAAGGCAGGAGAATCACTTGAACCTGGGAGGCAGAGGCTGCAGTGAGCCCAGATTGAGCCACTGTACTCCAGCCAGGGCAACAAAGCGACCCTGCATCTAAGAAATAAATTAATTAATTAAATAAAGCCAGGACGCCCCTCAGGTTTGGTCTATCTTTGCATGTGCCCACTTCCTCCTTTGACCTTCCCTGCCGTATTTTGATGCAGTACAAAAGCTCTCACCAGAAGTTGTGCAGATGCTGGTGCAACGCTTCTTGTACAGACTGCAGAAACGTGAGCTAAATTAACTTCCTTTCTCTATAAATTACCCAGCCTCAGCCTCAGATATTCCCTGATAGCAACACAAAATGGACTAAGTCCATAGTGTCATTAAGTAGGAAAAGAAAAGCTAGCAAGAGAAATGGGCCATGTAGTGAGTAAAGGGGGATAAGTATTGATGAATTCAGTTTTGCGCATGGTACATTTTATTTGCCTGGAAGATCACCAGATGGTAGCGTTGGGGATTTGTCTGGATTCAAGAGAGGAGTTGGAGATGAAGGTATTGAGAGTTTTTAGCGTGGAAGAACTAGTTGAAGCCTTGGGCTTAGCCAGACTGATTCAAGGAGACTACGAAGATTACGTAAGAAAACTAGAAGGATGAGATAAAAATTCTCAAGATCCCCAATATTGAACAAGCAGGCAAGAAGAGGAGGCTGCAAAAAAGAACAGAGAGGTGGGAGGTGAAAG